TCAACGAGGTTGAAGGCCGAGGTGGAGGCGGCAGGTTGGGAACACATCGTCGTAAACGCCGACTTCGCAGCAGCAACGTGTGAATCGAGTAGGGCAAATTCCTCGAGCATTAAGTCCAGTGACACGGTCGCACGCGTGACACTCTGACCGTCGGGTTTGGTGCCATCAATGTAGGTATTGGAAGGTAGGGTGCGTGGAGAATCCGGCACAGGGAGGATGGAGGGAAGGATCAGCATGTTGTTAGTGGACGAATCCACCAGTTGAGTTGGTGTGACCACGATGTGTTCACGCAGTGCGTCAAACATATTCGGCGATTGCCATGGGCGTTGCGGCGATGCAGACGCCCCAGAGCGGCTAACGGCGCCGTGACCCCGTGGCACCCGAGTCCATCGTGGTAGCGTTGGTGGTGGGATGCATTGACGCTTGTTAACGCCAGCCGGGCGAGCATGCAGGGGTGATGGGCTCAGGGTGAATGGCTGTGCGATAGCGTTTTCCTTAGCGGCAATATCCAGGTCAACGCGTTGGAAACCCTTGCGGTGGTTGTACCACCCTCGACCGTAAATCCTATGGCATTTGCCGAGGAACACAATTTCGTCGAGCAATCGCCCGTTGCACACGAAAGGGGGAGGAGGATGATTATCGTTAAATGATAAACGAGCTTAGCAGTACTGTAGCGTCACTAACATCGTCAGAGTGGTACTCGTCCAGTGACGATGACCGTACTACCGACGTAATGTCGAGGCCCAGGGCGTGGATGGAGTATGCGTGATTGAAGACATTGTGATACAGGGTAGCAAAAGGTGTAGATGGCCCCCACGTCGTGCGCATCCATCGGCAGAGCATTCGGAGGCGGGTAAGGTGGAGCAGCATGACCGGCGTCGACGACGCAAGCGAACGTACTTGCAGACCAAATTCCATCGGGTGTTTGGACAAAAGCGACTGGATACGGTCCGCTGCGCCAGTGGTAACAAGGTCAACGAGGTTGAAGGCCGAGGTGGAGGCGGCAGGTTGGGAACACATCGTCGTAAACGCCGACTTCGCAGCAGCAACGTGTGAATCGAGTAGGGCAAATTCCTCGAGCATTAAGTCCAGTGACACGGTCGCACGCGTGACACTCTGACCGTCGGGTTTGGTGCCATCAATGTAGGTATTGGAAGGTAGGGTGCGTGGAGAATCCGGCACAGGGAGGATGGAGGGAAGGATCAGCATGTTGTTAGTGGACGAATCCACCAGTTGAGTTGGTGTGACCAC